CCTCTGTTGTGTTAGGCTTTATACTCTAGTACCTGGAGCCTCTGTTGTGTTGTTAGGCTTCATATTCTAGTACCCGGAGCCTCTGTTGTTTTAGGCTTTATACTCTAGTACCTGGAGCCTCTATTGTGTTGTTAGGCTTCATATTCTAGTACCCGGAGCCTCTGTTGTTTTAGGCTTTATACTCTAGTACCTGGAGCCTCTGTTGTGTTGTTAGGCTTCATATTCTAGTACCCGGAGCCTCTGTTGTGTTAGGCTTTATACTCTAGTACCTGGAGCCTCTGTTGTGTTGTTAGGCTTTATAATCTAATACCCGGAGCCTCTGTTGTGTTGTTAGGCTTCATAATCTAATACCTGGAGCCGCTGATGTTGTGTGAGACTCCACATACACCTGAGCTTGCAGCCTCTCCGAGCACGACGCAGTATCCCATACACTATAGATTTAACCTGACAAGGAAAATTTGCACAATAATTTCGTTGATGAATGATAAATCAAATAGTTCATAATGTTTTTAACATGTATATCTGATTCTCCAAAATAACGTTATTTTCATTATAAAATTTCTGGTATTTCCATAGAGAATCGACGTCGTCTGTAGGGCATTTAGGGTCTTTGACCCCCTTATAGGAAGGAGAAAGGAATTGAGATGGGGGGAGGAGGATGCTGGATGCTTATGGAGGCCTGGCACCGTGGGTCAGCATGGGTCACTAGTATTAATTTGGGGCTTTGGGGCATGAAAGTGCGAGGCCTTGTGTGTTGATAAGGGTGATGGCGAGGTGGGTGCAGCGTGGACCGGTGGAATCTGCGGTTGTGTGAGGGGGCGGTGCAGACATCGGGTCCTATCATGAGCAATGCGGGTTCCCTGATTCCCTCCAGTCAACCGAGGCTGGCGATGGACCTTGTTGCCTGACTGCCTGCCTGCCTGCCTGCCTGACTGCCTGCCTGCCGCGCCCTTGCTTCACCGGCGTCTTCCAGTCCAAGATGGTCTTCCAGTCCACGAGGACCACTACGGGCTCACCATAGCCCGTGCTACTTGGAACTTTGTTCCAGGTAGCGATTCTTAAACAACAACCACGAGGACCTTCACGTCCAATACGGTCTAACAATGATCTTCCAGTCCAAGACGGTCTTCCAGTCTAGAACATTTCCAATCTTGAACATTCCAGATCTTACCAATCTTCATATAGCGAGGTGATTATGAGTGGAAAGTAATTATCCACTATGAATATATAGCCGTTGAAAATGAGTGAAGGAACAGTGCTCAGCCACTTGGACCAGCGAGCATCGAACTCCGACCTTGCAAGAAGCAGGACCGGCGTTGTACCGACCAGTCTAAGTGGCTGCCACTCTAGATCATACAAGTCATATGTTTAGCCATAGAAGCTTTGGGTTTTTGTAAACCACAGCCATCACCAAGAATAGTATATCAGTCAGAAGCAGTCGCTTCTAACAGCCTGGTTGATCAGATCACCATCCAAGAGGTCTGGTTAGAGACCGGGCCGCTAAGACATTGATTCTCGGAACCAACACAAAGCTAAACAAGACAGGGTGTATGAAATCTCTCAGTCCAGTAAAGGGATTCTGGACGATGCAGGATATAGCAGTGAAATGTTAAAGTAGTGAGGGGGCCTGACCAGTGACAGGGCCAGAGCAGTGACAGGGCCAGAGCAGTGACAGGGCCAGAGCAGTGACAGGACCAGAGCAGTGACTCGCTCCTGGGGAAGTGTGATACTGTCAATCAATTCATAAACAGTATGGGTTTACTCGGTAGCCTCATTACATAATTGCATGTGTTACGTGAGGCCGCGCGGAGGATTGTTCGCTGGGCGAGGTGGTCCTCCACCTGCTTCCTACCCTAACCTCTCCCACCTCCTCCTTCTCCTTCTCTTCTTCCTCCTCCGCTTCCTTCTTCTTCCCCTGGGTGCGTGTGTACGTCTGATGGTGACAGATGGACCGCAATGAGGCGATCTCCGTCGGTGGCTGAACATGGGTTCTGTCCCTGATTTACTTGTAAGATTTCGGGAAGCAAGGAAGAACTGCTTCACTGCCCCCGGGGTGGAAGCAAGGAAGAACTGCTTCACTGCCCCCGGGGTGGAAGCAAGGAAGAACTGCTTCACTGCCCCCGGGGTGGAAGCAAGGAAGAACTGCTTCACTGCCCCCCGGGTGGAAGCAAGGAAGAACTGCTTCACTGCCCCCGGGTGGAAGCAAGGAAGAACTGCTTCACTGCCCCCGGGGTGGAAGCAAGGAAGAACTGCTTCACTGCTCCCGGGGTGGAAGCAAGGAAGAACTGCTTCACTGCCCCCGGGGTGGAAGCAAGGAAGAACTGCTTCACTGCTCCCGGGGTGGAAGCAAGGAAGAACTGCTTCACTGCCCCCGGGGTGGAAGCAAGGAAGAACTGCTTCACTGCCCCCGGGGTGGAAGCAAGGAAGAACTGCTTCACTGCCCCCGGGGTGGAAGCAAGGAAGAACTGCTTCACTGCCCCCGGGGTGGAAGCAAGGAAGAACTGCCTCACTGCCCCCGGGGTGGAAGCAAGGAAGAACTGCTTCACTGCCCCCGGGGTGGAAGCAAGGAAGAACTGCCTCACTGCCCCCGGGGTGGAAGCAAGGAAGAACTGCCTCACTGCCCCCGGGGTGGAAGCAAGGAAGAACTGCTTCACTGCCCCCGGGGTGGAAGCAAGGAAGAACTGCTTCACTGCCCCGGGTGGAAGCAAGGAAGAACTGCTTCACTGCCTCCGGGTGGAAGCAAGGAAGAACTGCTTCACTGCCCCCGGGGTGGAAGCAAGGAAGAACTGCTTCACTGCCCCCGGGTGGAAGCAAGGAAGAACTGCTTCACTGCTCCCGGGGTGGAAGCAAGGAAGAACTGCTTCACTGCTCCCGGGGTGGAAGCAAGGAAGAACTGCTTCACTGCCCCCGGGGTGGAAGCAAGGAAGAACTGCTTCACTGCTCCCGGGCAAGTGAGGTTCAAGACAATTTTCAGCCTGCTCCACCTTCTCCATGATCTGCTGCCGGGGTTACTGGAGGACAGGTGTCGCGCTGATGAGTCTGCTGTTCTTGCTGTTACCGCGTCTGCTGCTGCTGCTGCTACCACGTCTGCTGCTGCTGCTACCACGTCTGCTGCTGCTGCTGCTGACATAGTTCTGCTATATATGTGTGTGTAAGTACCCAGATGTACTCACCTAGACGTGCTTAAAGAGACAGACTGGGCTCCTACTCCTCGCCTGCCGACCCTTGGTTGACTGCCTCGGCTGTATCCTCACGGTTTTTCTTATCATATTTACACTTAAAATATAGAATTTAATTATATCCAACGACCTGTTCCCCTTATGACTCACTTGAACAATGCTTCTTTGTCAGTTCCCTGACAAACTTTGTATTCCGTTGTCATGTCCCGTTGATCTCGCCTCTCCGGTCTCCCGTGTGATATGGTTAGGTTCCCTTCAATTCTTTGTCGTAGCTCAAACCCTTCTGCTCAAGAAGAAGACTTGTGGCATGTCTTTTGACTTATCCCTTTCCCAGGCCAGGGTTTCCATGCAGGAGGCTGCATAGTCCAATGTAGGTCTTACGTAGGTTGTGTATAGGACCCGTGAGACCCCTTTCTCCAAGTTCGTCAATAGGTACGCTGGCCAATATGACACACACGCTGTGATCATCAGGCTGTTAGTGAGTGCTTCTGGCATTAGATTTGGGAATGTGTCTGCTCCTAGATCTTCTCTTCTCTTCAGAAGAGAGAATCTGTCTACCCTCTATGGTGCCTCACATTTTCTCAGTCCTATTTCTATCCTCATAAGTTTCCATTAGTTTGATAAAATTCTGGCCCGTCATATTTTTGGATCACTTTTAGAATGTGTCCAGATTCGTTTACAGAGTCTTGGAGTCCCTCTCTGTCTTAATATTGTCATTATCTTCACACGTTGGTTGAAGGACCCAATTTCCTGTTGGTCGTTGACATATAGTAGAAACAGGATGCGGCCCAGGACCTGCCCATGTGGTGCTCTGCTGGTAACACCTCCCTGCTCTGATGTCTGCGCTCTGTTGGTAACACCTCCCTGCTCTGATGTCTGCGCTCTGTTGGTAACACCTCCCTGCTCTGATGTCTGCGCTCTGCGCTCTATGTAGCTCTCTCACCTACCTTGAGGCTTACCTCCTGCATACACCGGCATACTTCACCAGCTTACGTAGGAATCTTTTGTGGGGGACAGTATCAAATGATTTCTGACAGTCGAGGAATATCCAGTCTACCCATCCCTCTCTCCTGTTGGCTTTGTGGCTTCTTATTGTTGAGCTGTAATACGTTTGTCAAACATGGTTTCTGAGATTAAATCTGTGCTCATGTTTGAAGACATGTGTCTTTCTGTATGTCTGCATTTATGTATGTCTGTTCGTGTGTGTGTGTGTGTGTGTGTGTGTGTGTGTGTGTGTGTGTGTGTGTGTGTGTGTGTGTGTGTGTACTCACCTAGTTGTGCTTGCGGAGGGGTTGAGCTTTGGCTCTTTGGTCCCGCCTCTCAACTGTCAATCAACGGGTGTGTGTTTATGCTTGGATCCCGCCTTTCTAGCCAATTTATTTTTCCTCTATTATGTCTACTACATATATTTATCTCTTAAGACACACACACACACACACACACACACACACACACACACACACACACACAGGAAGCAGCCTGTAGGAGCTGTCTAACTTGAAGGAGTAGCTGCAAGGGGTCGACAGTCAAACCTAAGTAAGAGGAGATGTTGGTAGCGTGGAGGCCTTGATACAGGTGTGGGGAGGCCTTGGTACAGGTGTGGGGAGGCCTGGGTACAGGTCTGGGGAGGCCTGGGTACAGGTATGTGTGTATAACCCACCACCTTGAGTACTCAGCACAACGGAAGGAAGTCCCGTGAAACCCATAAGATTAGGTTTGTTCAATGAGGTGTGGTAATGAGCCCAAAATATATATATCACTCTAAAACTCGTTTTAAACTGTAAGTTAAGATGCAGGTGGTAACTCTGAGCCTCTCGACAGGTGTCGGCGACGGACCCGGACTGCGGAGTGAACGCCATGGTTAACTACACTATAGGCGACGGCTTCAAGCGCTTCAAGGAGTTCGAGATCAGACCTGTGACGGGCGACATCTGCATCTCCGGCCAGCTGGACCACGAGACCAGATCTGTCTACGAGTTCCCCGTCGTCGCCACGGATAGAGGTGAGGTGCTGCCACAGCTTCTCCCCCTCTCTGCCACTCCTGTCCAACCACTTGGGTTGGACGGTAGAACGACGATCTCGCTTCTTGCAGATCGGGCTTCAATCCTCCAAGTGGTTGGGCACCATTCCTTCCCCCCCCGTCCCATCCCAAATCCTTATCCTGACCTCTTCCCTGTGCTATATAGTCGTATTGGCTTGGCGCTTTCCCCTTGATAATTCATCTCTCTGTCATTCCTTTGTATGTATTTGTTAATAAAGACAAAGATTCAATTGGATTAGCATTGGTGTTCGTCAATGTGCACAATACGTTCCACCTCCGTTCCGTTCCACCGTCAATCATCAGTTGATTGACGGTTGAGAGGCGGAACCAAAGAGCCAGAGCTCAACCCCCGCAAGTACACTTAGGTGAGTACCTGTTTTCCTACATCAGCTCATTAGAAACTTATTTTTTTTCACGAGTTTACTAGTTTGTGTCATTAGTTATAAACTTTATTTAATATTAAGTTGCAATTATATTAGCGATAAGATGAAGCTGATGTCTACTGTGTACCAGAGTCCTCAAATGGTCAGGTCGACTCGAGTTCATAAATATTTACTTGTTGAGAGAACATGTTCGAAATGCGAATCAGCCAAGGAATTAATGACAGCTGATGGAGTGGTTCTTGAGAGTGGAACAGCCAGCTTGAGACTGTTGATGGCTGACGCCTTGTGTTGCAAGTGCAGTCTTGAGTGCACGAAGTTACACCAGCTGGACTCAACAGAGTCGGGCCGAGAGACATAAACAAATCTAGAACCCAAAAACTGTCAATATTTAAATATGAGTTGCATCAATAATAAGACTGTTCCAAGTGTTACAACATCTCTGTTCCAAGATGTTGATCTTGTCTGCAGCTTGCCTTTGAGGTCTGGATATCTTACCAGCTTGTATGGAGGTTCTGAGATCCAGAGACAGCCACATCAGAGGGCTGGGCATGTCTACAGCACACACAGCACCACCGCCGTGGCGATGACCGCTGTGAGGCTATCCATCAATGATAGCCTACTGTCTTGTCAAAGTTACCAGGCATACTGTCCAGAAATGTGTTCAATACAACGCCCATATCAGGACGATGAGTATTTACGGAACTGCACGTGAGCTCGCAAATTTCGGTAATGAAGCCTCTTACGTTGGCAGGCATTATGCTAATGGATTGGCTGCTCATGTCGGCACACTGTTTGACTAGGCAGATGAATATGGCGTCTGCCACTGATAGAATACCGCCACATAACCCTGTGAACCTGTATAAGGCACAACACCACCTGCAGAGTTGGGGGTTGGGCTAGATGGATAGGTGGCGCGTGTGTACCTAATCCCAGAATACTTTGGCGCGGTCGCAGATTATATTTCTAAACAGCTGGTCCTGCCCCATCAAGTCCATTTTCTGTGCGACATGTGTTCTCTTGAAGCCTTCTTGAGTTGCAGTTATTCCACTCGATAGCTCTTAGGGAGTCGTCAGGAGGGTGACCACTCCGCTGCCTGTAACTGCCAGGGTAGGGGCCTGTACGACCCAAGTGTTTTGCTGCTCATACGGTAGTTGGCGGCTCTGTTAACTACACTGTCCAACCTGTTAACTACGTCGTTGCCGAGTCTTTGCTATATAGTACTATATAGTTGTAATGGCTTGGCGATTTCTCCCGACAGCGCCCTTCCCATTAGACACCGGTTTATTTTGATGTAGGCCCGTGGGACACCGGTTTATTTTGATGTAGGCCCGTGGGACACCGGTTTATTTCCGTAAAGGATAACGGAACCTTCTAAATTTGCAAAGTAATCTGTACAAACAGAGCATTTGTATATATACACCGAGAGGCGTAGTCTGAGAGCTAGACAGAGAGGCTAGGCTCAAGGGTGGTGGTAGACGGAGAAGTATGGAGGGATAAGTCGGTACTAACACACACAAGCGTGTTTAGGTTTAAAACACTGCATATCGGTGTACTGTTGTGTGAGTAAGCTTAATAGAGCTTAGAGATGATGATAGGCCTATTGCTCAACACCCCAGTCAGCTGGCGGTACTTGGTGACGTCACTGGCTAAGCTGCCAGATGCTCGACGCTTTCTGTTACCGGAAGCAGAACTGTCTAATCTAATTAACCGGACCAGAACCGATCCAGCGTATCTTAACGGGAAAAACGCGCGAAACTTGGCTGTTGTTGGTTTGTATGGTTGACGGCCAGAGGCACGGGTCGCTGGTTAGTATTCAACCCCAATTAGTTGTGGCTCCTCATTGTTGTCGTCACACTTGCCGCCATTTTTCCCCCTCCATTTGAATACTTTCATTTGTTTTTTGTCACTCCGACAACCTGTCCTCTTGCTGAACGCATCATGTTGTTAACGCGATCGGCCCCGGCGTAATCATTACGGTGGTTTAGGGAAATTAAAAGCCCGAAATATTGACACTTTCAGGGATTAGTCAAGTCCAGGGGCCAGATTCACGAAAGCACTTACGCAAGCACTTACGAACCTGTACATCTTTTCTCAATCTTTAGGGGCTTTGTTTACAATTATTAAACAGTTAATGAGCTCCGAAGCACCAGGAGGCTGTTTATAACAATAACAACAGTTGATTGACAGGTTTTCATGCTTGTAAACTGTTTAATAAATGTAACCAAAGCCGTTAAAGATCGAGGAAAGATATACACGTTCGTAAGTACTTGCGTAACTGCTTCGTGAATCTGGCCCCTGGTCCTTGTACAGGAGTGCAGTTACGTCAACTTGTTCTCTTGGCCAGGGGCTCGTCCCTGGGTGTGATAGGGGACCATGTCGTTGTGAACGTGTTGGTAGCATCCCCCCCTAACCCCCAACTTCCCCCTCCCGTGCACGACAAGTCCATAGCATCTCTCGCGCATGCCTGCGTTAGGGGTCCCTGGCGCAGGAGTGCGTATAGTCCCTCTACATGTTTGGAAGTGTCGTGGTGTATCAGAGATGATGAGAGTGGTGTCGTGCTGTGTTTCAGGCGGCTTGAGCACGACCGCTGCTGTCAAGATCCAGCTGCTGGATGTGAACGACAACAGACCCACCTTCTACCCCCAGCAGTACAATGTCTCCCTCCGCGAGCAGCACAAGTCCTCCTCCTCCCCCGTCGTGGTCGTCGTCGCCACGGACAAGGACGCCGGCATCTACGGACAGGCAAGTTCAATACATTTTATTTTCGTGGCCAAATAGTGCCGAACATCTTTTTGTACAATCATGTTGTCCTCAGATAATAATGTCTTCATTACTGAATGTTAGAAGTTCATCTTCGAGTTGACCCTAATATGATCATTCGAAAATAGAAATCTATCGAATCTGATCTTTTTCCCCCGTTTTTTTTCGTAAAATTTTTGTAAAAGTATTGGACTTAAAAATTTTCAAAAATTGACAAAACTTCTACATCTAAGAAATAATGACAAATTAAGTTAATTTTGTTTTTTTATGTTTTAATTTTCATTGTAGTAACTTTTCGTAACACTTTATAGGGACAGCCATTCAGTATGTATATGTTTTCTAGATATATTAATTATTATGTACATATAAAGAGTAGGTCTATAATAGTGACGGGTAGAATATCCACTATCCATAGACTGTAAATTATCCACCTACATATAGATATAGGTATAAGAACATACTGGTGTATTAAGTATAGGTGTAGGGGGCAGGTGTCTTATGTGTAGGTGCATAGGAGCGTAGATGTTGGGTGGGGTCTTAGAAGCACTAGGGGTTTAGCTGTCAAGGTGTAGATGCGGAGGAGTAATGTTAACGCATGCGCTGTGGGTACCTGCAGGTGACGTACGAGATCGTGGGAGGCAACGACGCTGGCATCTTCCGCATCAACGGCAAGACCGGGGAGATCTTCGTCAACGAGCCCCTCTCCAAGGCCACCCCCATGTACCACATTAACGTGTCGGCCCGCGACGGTGCTGGCCTCAGGTATGACTACCACTACCACTACTACTGCTACTATTACTACGACTAACACTGCTACGACTAACACTGCTACGACTAACACTGCTACGACTAACACTGCTACGACTAACACTGCTACGACTAACACTGCTACGACTAACACTGCTACGACTAACACTGCTACGACTAACACTGCTACGACTAACACTGCTACGACTAACACTGCTACGACTAACACTGCTACGACTAACACTGCTACGACTAACACTGCTACGACTAACACTGCTACGACTAACACTACTAGGACTAACACTGCTACGACTAATACTACTAGGACTAATAATAATAATAGCAATAATAATAATAATAATAATAATGAGAAAATCAGTAGGAGCCATGAGGAGGATTCGAACTCGCACACTTCCTTCCACGAAGGAAGAATTGAAACAGGAATTTCCTGTTTCAATTCTTCCTTCGTGGTCTGACACTGGCATGCATATATATATATATATATATATATATATATATATATATATATATATATATATATATATATATATATATATATATATATATATATATATATATATATATATATATAGTTTTGGATTATGGCTCTGTGGGAGATTGAAGGTGTTTGTTGTAATGGATATGTGCCAATTAAGTGTTTCTTTGTTATTCTTTATAAATTGGTTAAATGCTAGAGAGAGTCTAGAAGACATTTACGGCTCAGTAAAGATGAAACTTCAGGGTAAAATAATAACCTCGTATGATGAAGTAACTATTTAATGATTGCCTCGTATATAGAGAGAAGGAATCCTGGGATGATAACCTCATCTATAGAGAATCTCAAATGATGACTTCGACTGTAGAGAGTCTCTTGAGGGTAGGTCCCTTGAGGTTACTTTGAGGTGCTTCCGGGGCTTAGCGTCCCCGTTGCCCGGTCGTCGACCAGACGGCCTCCAGGTCCGTCATCAAACAATGATCCTTGTGCTTGTGACAGGTCTGTGGTGGACGCAGAGGTTGCCATCTCGGTCATCGACACCAACCAGGAGCCGCCCATCTTCGAGAAGCCTCGTTATACCTTCGGCGCCAACGAGAGCGTCCCCCAGGGCTCCGTCGTCGGCACTGTCACCGCCACCTCCAGCGGCAGGGGTGAGTAGGCGTCGGACGACGAACGGATACCAGGAGGAGAGGGGTGAGTGGGATTTATATGACAAACTGATGATGACTGGAATGAGATTGAAGTGTGAGAAGCAGGCGAAGAAATCAAATTGCAGCTCATAGAAAGCGGAGACTGGAGGAGGAGAGGGGGGGGGGATGAATGATGAAGACATTTTTATTGTAGTATGCCATGAGACGTGTAATAGAAAACGTAAGACTTAACCAAGGAACTTGTTGCTAGGAGTAGACTTAACTGCCTTTTTGTCATCATTTTAATCAAAATTCCTACTAAACCAGCCGAGAGTAAGAGTGTACGCATCACTTCTGCAGGAGGAGGGGAGGTGCGCTACAACATATACTCTGGCGACCCCAACGGGTACTTCAGCATAGACAGTCTGAGTGGCATGCTGAGCACAGCCTCGTCCCTCGACCATGAGTCTCACCCCTTTGTCCTTCTCAATGTGTTGGCTACCGCGGGGAACCCACCCACCTACGGCCACACCCAGGTCAGTACCCACACACGCGCGCGCGCGCACACACACACACACACACACACACACACACACACACACACACACACACACACACACACACACACACACACACACACACACACTCCCAGGTCACGACACACACACACACGCCCAGGTCACGACACACACACACTCCCAGGTCACGACACACACACACACTCCCAGGTCACGACACACACACACACACGCCCAGGTCACGACACACACACACACACCCAGGTCAGTACACACACACACACACACACACACACACCCAGGTCAGTACACACACACACACACACACACACACCCAGGTCAGTACACACACACACACACACACACACACACCCAGGTCAGTACACACACACACACACACACACACACCCAGGTCAGTACCCACACACACACACACACACACACACACACACACACACACACACACACACATACACCCAGGGCAGTAACCACACTATCCGCAGTCTTGATAAAGACTTACATTATCATTATTATGTTTCTGTGATGAAAAATAAATTAATATCTTCTTGAACGAATCGATAAAATCATCATAACTCACTTTCCAAATTTCATTTTGTGACAGTGACTGGATACAATACACCAAACATACCCTTAACTCTCTTGTGATCTCCACGGCAGGTCAACATCAGTATTTACGACGTGAACGACAATGCGCCGGAGTTCGACGTTCATTCTGTGAAGATCTCTGTGCGGGAGAACGCGGTCCTCAACGAGGCCATCTACGCTGCTCACGCCACCGACCACGACTCTGGCGACAACGGCGTCGTCACCTACAGCCTCGTCCAGAACCCAGGGGGAATGTTTCTCATAGACGAGGTAAGCTGGCGAATCACCCCCGGCTTCCTAATTCAAAGCGGGAGTCACCCCCGGCCTCCTAAGAAAACGGGATAGTACGTTATTTTCTCTAGTCGATTCCATTTTCTAGTACGACGATTTTTTTTTAGAGTTTACAAGCCGTTTAGAACAGCTGGCTATAGCGTTGAGTGCTGTAAATGTGTTTATTTTATTTTATGTAAATGTGTTTAGATTTGGTTAGAACCTGGATCAATCCAGAATGCCAACGTAATGTTACTCGCAGATAAGGTTAAGTGGGATCACTTGCAAGTACAATAATTACAGAATCAAGTTTATACTCAGACCCATTTATTGTTGTATCTAAAGAATTAGTATGAAAATTCTTTCACACATGTCTGAATGTAATGAGGTTTATAGAAATGATTATATATTACACAGAGTAATCACACACTTACGTGATGCATCAATGGGAAAATCCATTGGAGCGGTGATGAGGAAGAGAGTAGAACTCCGGGTTGCAATTCTTTTGACTATGTCGTGGCCTAGTTGGCTAGGGCGTGTGTCTAAGAACACCCACCGCATAGGTTCGATCCCTCACAACGGCTCCTATGGATTTCCCATGATTATTTCTTTATAAATAAACGGAACTTTCAATAACAAGAGACAGAACCTTTTTATTATGTGACTGACTCATCTTCATTTTAGTAATTTATTATGCACTCCCGTTAGTGTGTGGAAAAGGTACATAGGCACATATGATAGGTTCTGGAACTGAACCCCACAGTTCATTTAGCTAAGTAATAATCTTGTGAAACTAGTTACACGATTTGAATATATATATATATATATATATATATATATATATATATATATATATATATATATATATATATATATATATATATATATAATATAATTAGTCTTTTCATACTACAAGTGGTTCAAGAAGTGGCCCACATCAGAGTCTATACAAGGCAGTCTACATCTGCGGTGAGTCACACACACACAGTTACTCATCAGTGATGCACGTATACCCACAGTTACTCATCACTGATGCACGTATACCCACAGTTACTCATCAGTGATGCACGTATACCCACAGTTACTCATCACTGATGCACGTATCCCCACAGAATCAAGGTATTCTGATGCTGGCGGAGGAACTGGACTATGAAGACGTGCAGAAATACACGCTAGTGATCGGGGCGCAGGACAAGGGCGACCCTCGTCTCTCCTCCAACCTGACGGTGAACCTGGAGGTGCAGGACGTCAACGACAACCCGCCGGTCTTCGACAAGACCTCGTACGTGGTGAGCGTGCTGGAGTCGCTGCCGGCCAACTCCCAGTTCCTGCAGGTGACAGCTCTCGACCTGGACACGGGCAACAACGCCAGGCTCACCTACACCATCAGAGAGAAGGAATTTGAGAATGTCTTCGGGATCTTCCCAAACTCCGGCTCTCTCTACCTGAAGGAGGTTGGTATTAGCTGAGTTGACCAGACCACACACTAGAAAGTGAAGGGACGACGACGTTTCGGTCCGTCCTGGACCATTCTCAAGTCGATTGAGAATGGTCCAGGACGGACTGAAACGTAGTCGTCCCTTTACTTTCAAGTGTGTGGTCTGGTCAATATACTTCAGCCACGTTATTGTGGCTCATCGCCTGCGTATTAGCTGAGGTTTGGTAACTGTTCCTAGTCTCTTGACAATATTTTTAAGTGTTCCTGAACTATATATGGCGAGAGGAGCTAAAAACTATTCTAATTGGTGGGGCTTTCTAGTGAACCCTAATGAACAAGCATAATTCTTGTTGTTGGAATCTTCTGCTATTCTGAGACGAGTTGAAGAATTAAATTTTAAACGATTAAACGTTAAGAAATTATGTGAACTTGTTGTCAAGATATAATGGTATCAGTACCAGGTGTTGGAATAGACACCTTGCTGTGATTTCGGGCTCAACGTCCCCGGGCGGCCCGGTCCTCGACCAGGCCTCCTGCATACTGAAAGAAAGAATCGGGAAAGATTTTGTGTAAGTGAATGCTGTTTTGTCAGCTTCTCACGGAGCGTGTTTGTGTGTCTAGGTGTTGGACCGGGAGACCCGGGACCGGTACGTGTTGACGGTGGTAGCCACGGACAACGGGACGCCTGTCTCCACCGCCTCCACCACCGTCACCATCAACGTCCTCGATGCCAACGACAACACCCCGGCCTTCTCCAGACAGGTACGCGACTTCCGACCCCTCTCTCTCTCTCTTGGTTCCTGTCCCTCAGGCAGATAGGTAGAGTTCTGCCTCGTCCTGCATGTATAGTCTCCTTTAGACAGGTGGTGCCTGCTTTATAGAGGTGGTGCCTGCTTTATAGAGGTGGTGCCTGCTTTATAGAGGTGGTGCCTGCTTTATAGAGGTGGTGCCTGCTTTAGAGAAGTGGTGCCTGCTTTATAGAGGTGGTGCCTGCTTTATAGAGGTGGTGCCTGCTTTATAGAGGTGGTGCCTGCTTTATAGAGGTGGTGCCTGATTTATAGAGGTGGTGCCTGCTTTATAGAGGTGGTGCCTGCTTTATAGAGGTGGTGCCTGCTTTATAGAGGTGGTGCCTGCTTTAGAGAAGTGGTGCGTGCTTTAGAGAAGTGGTGTCTGCTCTAGACATTGTATTCCTTCCATCTTCAGCGGGTTAGTTCACTACCCTCAAGGTTAGTTCACTAGCTGGGTACTTCCACACCATTCCTCTTGACTACTTTCCTTGTACAGTAATCTAAATACTTAACCCCTCTTCTCTTTTCTCTTCTCTTCTCTCTTCTTTCTATTTTCTTATTTTATTTTATTTTATTTTATTTTATTTTTATTTTGTTCTCTTCTCTTTGCTAACCTCTGTTGTCAAAGCTCCTAATCCATTTTCTAACCATAATATCATGACTATATGTTTGCTACAGTTTCGTATCGTCAACGAGTTTCAGAACAAAACTCATTCAGATGGACAATTTTGTGTAGGTGGATGTGTCCAAATGTAGGCTTCGTGTTGTTGACCCTGTGTGTGTGTTGACCCCGTGTGTTACCTGTGTTGTTGACCTTGTGTGTTACCTGTGTTGTTGACCCTGTGTGTTGTTGACCCTGTGTGTTGTTGACCCTGTGTGTTACCTGTGTTGTTAACCCTGTGTGTTACCTGTGTTGTTGACCCTGTGTGTTGACCCCGTGTGTTACCTGTGTGTTGTTGACCCTGTGTGTTACCTGTGACAGGTGTACGAGTTCACGGTGGAGGAGAACCTGGACTCCGGGGCGGTGGTGGGGAGGGTGCTGGCCGAAGACAGGGACCTGGGGAACAACGCCTCCCTCAGGTTCTCCCTCACGCCCTCCGACGGCTCCTTCCAGATCAACCCCGTCACTGGTAAGTCTCCTGCCTCTCTCTCTCTCTGTCTCTCTCTCTCTCTCTGTCTCTCTCTGTCCGTATGCCCGAGTGTCTGCAGGTTTCTCAACCGATTTTCATGGGAGATGAAAACCGATCATCCCCCCCCCCCCCCATTTGTTGGTGTCATCCCCCCCCCCCATCCCCCCCCCATAAATCAACAAATGGGGCCTTCCCAAAAGCCCCATTTTGGGTAGGCCACCCTATAGGCCTACCCAAAAGGCACATAGGGGTATCTACCTCCCGAAAGAAATTGCTTGTATTAAATAATAATGTTATTAGTGATAATTATTATATTAAGTTTAATTATAATAATTCAAATAATTATTTATCATTACTGCCATTGTTGTCATTATTAAGGTTTACCGTCCAATATAAGTATTGTATGTGAGCTGTAGAGGGTGTGACCCTTAGTTCAGTCAGTCTTGGTCTGGCACTCCCTATGCTGGCACTCCCTACCCTGGCACTCCCTACCCTGGCACTCCCTACCCTAACCCTTCCTGCCCTGGCCCTTCCTGCCCTGGCACTCCCTACCCGAACCCTCCCTACCCTGGCCCTCCCTGTCCTGGCCCACCCTACCCTAACCCGCCCTACCCTGACCCTCCCTACCCTGGCCCTCCCTGCCCTGAACCATCTAGTGAGAGATACATGACAATATACACATGGCATACGCTGGAAGGACGGGTCCCAAACCTGTACAATAACATTACATTATTGAGTGAGAGAGATGGTAAGAGGTGTCAGATACATCTAATGACAGGGCGCTTAAACACCGTTACAGAACATAGTGTAAACAAAACAAATAAGCCTCCCAGAGAGAACTGTGGACACTGGTTCTCCTGGAGTCAGCGGATCAGCCTGACTGTGATGGTTGTGTGGGGGCCTTCGGTCCACGAAGATAAACAGCTTCACATACCAAATAATTACAATTTTCTTGTCTCCTATGTTTGTACTTTTGCTTCAATATATTATTATTTTGTTTATTATTCTTAATTGCCAGGAGGGAAGAGCTCTCGAAATCATCACAGGTAATTAAAAAACCATTTCAAGTCTTCAGTTTGTGTTTCAATTTAAGTCTTTGTAATTAAAATAGTTATATTTATAATATATAATAATTATATATATAGAATACAGGAACATATCCGAAGATTGTGTACATATTTTTAGCATGTTCAGGAATCCGAACAATGACTTTGTATGATGTTTGAGAACATTTGATAATGACGCAGATGTTTGATTATATTTGGTAACGATGGGTTTGTTGATGTCGTTAGTGGAAGTCAATTTTTAGCCCTTACACCTTAGTGAAGGGGGGGGGAGGCTGCTGAGGCTGCTGAGGCAGACCTGTTATTAACAACATTATGTCCTGACTGGTCTTATACCTGTTCTGTGTATTGGGAATTATTCTACCAATATTCTTAAGTCGTTTTTTTTTATTTCCTTGACTGTCTTGGGCTGGAATGTTGGTGAGATGGTGGTGGTGGTGGTGGTGGTGGCGGCGTGGGTGGTAGAGATGGTGGTGGTGGTGGTGGTGGCGGCGTGGGTGGTAGAGATGGTGGTGGTGGTGGGCGGCGTGGGTGGCAGAGATGGTGGTGGTGGCGGCGTGGGTGGTAGAGATGGTGGTGGTGGTGGGCGGCGTGGGTGGTAGAGATGGTGGTGGTGGTGGGCGGCGTGGGTGGTAGAGATGGTGGTGGTGGTGGGCGGCGTGGGTGGTAGAGATGGTGGTGGTGGTGGGCGGCGTGGGTGGTAGAGATGGTGGTGGTGGTGGGCGGCGTGGGTGGTAGAGATGGTGGTGGTGGTGGGCGGCGTTGGTGGTAGAGATGGTGGTGGTGGTGGGCGGCGTTGGTGGTAGAGATGGTGGTGGTGGTGGGCGGCGTGGGTGGGAGAGATGGTGGTGGTGGGCGGCGTGGGTGGTAGAGATGGTGGTGGTGGTGGGCGGCGTGGGTGGCAGAGATGGTGGTGGTGGTGGGCGGCGTGGGTGGCAGAGATGGTGGTGGTGGTGGGCGGCGTGGGTGGCAGAGATGGTGGTGGTGGTGGTGGGCGGCGTGGGTGGCAGAGATGGTGGTGGTGGTGGGCGGCGTGGGTGGCAGAGATGGTGGTGGTGGGTGGCGTGGGTGGCAGAGGTGGTGGTGGGCGGCGTGGGTGGCAGAGATGGTGGTGGTGGTGGGCGGCGTGGGTGGCAGAGATGGTGGTGGTGGTGGTGGGCGGCGTGGGTGGCAGAGATGGTGGTGGTGGTGGGCGGCGTGGGTGGCAGAGATGGTGGTGGTGGTGGTGGGTGGCGTGGGTGGCAGAGATGGTGGTGGTGGTGGGCGGCGTGGGTGGCAGAGATGGTGGTGGTGGGTGGCAGAGATGGTGGTGGTGGTGGGCGGCGTGGGTGGCAGAGATGGTGGTGGTGGGTGGCGTGGGTGGCAGAGATGGTGGTGGTGGTAGGCGGCGTGGGTGGCAGAGATGGTGGTGGTGGTGGTGGGTGGCGTGGGTGACAGAGATGGTGGTGGTGGTGGGCGGCGTGGGTGGCAGAGATGGTGGTGGTGGTGGGGGCCACAACTAGGACAGGGAGGGAGGGAGGGATGGAGCCCCCTACAGCTGCTGAGTGACTCATCACCTTCCTCAAGAATAAGGAGAGGAGGGAGGAGGAGGAGGACAAAGAATTTAGTGTGAGAGGAATGGAAGAAGGTACGGGTTAAGTAAGATAAAATTTGGAGATGGAAGACATGGGGGGAGGGAGATGACTGAATTCACCGTGCCAGGAATCCCCTCTTCCCCCCCCCCCCCCCCCTTCACCATCACCATAAGATGATGATGGTGATATTTTGGAGGCTCGAATGTTCATTAGTTGCGAACACCTCTGACCTCTACTGGGACAGACCTCTCACGTCACCTTTTTATTAGTTTGCTTATTAGTCCAGTTATCCTCCGTTTTCCTTATTACGGGCTCACCATAGCCCGTGCTTCTTGGAACTGTTTGTTCTGAGGAGCTGAATCTGAAGCACCAACATCCATGTTCCCTAGGATAAGCACCTCCAAAGGATACCTGATCAACCAGGCTGTGACTCATACGTCAGGCTGCGAGCAGCCGCGTCCAACAGCCTGGTTGATCTGTCCAGCAACCAGGAGGCCCTGGTCGACGACCGGGCCGCGGGGACGCTAAGCCCCGGAAACACCTCAAGGTAAGGTTCCCATCATCGTGTGAAGGTGTGGCCAACTCATTCCTTATATCTTCAGGATTTAGTTGAGTCTGGCCAGTAGGAGTGATTGTATGTATCGCAGGTGTGGGAGTATGTGAATGGCGGGTGTGGCAGGCTGTGACTGGCCGAATGACGGGTGTGGCAGGCTGTGATTGGCTGAATGACGGGTGTGGCAGGCTGTGATTGGGTGAATGACGGGTGTGGCAGGCTGTGATTGGGTGAATGACGGGTGTGGCAGGCTGTGATTGGCTGAATGACGGGTGTGGCAGGCTGTAATTGACTGAATGACGGGTGTGGCAGGCTGTGATTGGCTGAATGACGGGTGTGGCAGGCTGTGATTGGCTGAATGACAAGTGTGGCAGGCTGTGATTGACTGAATGACGGGTGTGGCAGGCTGTGATTGGCTGAATGACGGGTGTGGCAGGCTGTGATTGGCTGAATGACGGGTGTGGCAGGCTGTAATTGACTGAATGATGGGTGTGGCAGGTTGTGATTGGCTGAATAACGGGTGTGGCAGGTTGTGATTGGCTGAATGACGGGTGTGGCAGGGTGTAATTGGCTGAATGACGGGTGTGGCAGGCTGTGATTGGCTGAATGACGGGTGTGGCAGGCTGTGATTGGCTGAATGACGGGTGTGGCAGGCTGTAATTGACTGAATGACGGGTGTGGCAGGCTGTGATTGGCTGAATGACGGGTGTGGCAGGCTGTGATTGGCTGAATGACGGGTGTGGCAGGCTGTGATTGACTGAATGACGGGTGTGGCAGGCTGTGATTGGCTGAATGACGGGTGTGGCAGGCTGTAAATGACTGAATGACGGGTGTGGCAGGCTGTAATTGACTGAATGACGGGTGTGGCAGGCTGTGATTGGCTTTACGACAAGAGTGGGATGGCGCCCCACTGGTCATGATTTGTCTGATATTAGCGGCGATGTTATCACCACTACGCACCGCAGGGGGGCGCGGAGTTGTTGGAGGGGGAAGGGGTGGTCTTGGAGGGGTCGGGGAGGGTGGGGAGGACGGCTGGGTGTCCAGCGCTCGGGAGGGGTGATGGAGGAGGGGGGTACGTCATACATGGAGGGGGGAAAGGGAGTGAAGGAGGGAGGGAGTCCTCCAAAGGGAATTACAGCCACGGTTGGGGATGAAGGGGTGATGTCCCAATAGCGGAGTTCAGTTTCTTGTGGTCGCTTCAGAGAGCCGTCCCGCCTGATTCATTTAATACCACGTTTCCGAACCTCGTAGGACATCCACACCACGTGTCCTAGTCTGTGAGACATCCACACTACGTGCCATAGCCCGTGGGACATCCACGCCACGTGTCCTAGCCTGTGGGACATCCACGCCACGTGTCCTAGCCTGTGGGACATCCACACCACGTGTCCTAGCCTGTGGGACATCCACACCACGTGCCTGGACACCATCACTGCCAGAAGCATGTGCCATACTGGCAAAGGTCTGTTATCCTTCAGGAACCGGAACAAAGGTCACTTCCGAGCGCTGTACACGTCCTTTGTGAGACCCGTTATTGAGTATGCTGCCCCGGCATGGGACCTCTACATAAAGAAGCACAATATACAATAAGACTCGTTCCTGAGCTATGAAGAAAGCTATGAGGAAACTGGATCTCACTTCACTGGAGGAAAGGAGGAGTAGGGCGGACATGGTAACGACATACAATATACTAAAGGGGGGAACACGAGAGAACACCAGCTGTAACTGTAACCACACTTATGGGTGACACACTCACCCCCTCCCCCTTCCTCCTCAAGATATAGCATAAATCTGGTATAGAACCTTCTCACTAAATAAACCAATTGTGTTTGCTATTATTTTTAATTTAAAATGCTGTAAATCAAATATTATAACAGTTCACACTTATTAACATCAACATTTGCCACAGAAGCTATAGAGTGTAAAGTAGTCTGCTCTCTATAGCATTAAGTATCACTGTAGGAAATGTATGTCCTTAGCCTACTGCCCTCATTATTTGTTATATATATATATATATATATATATATATATATATATATATATATATATATATATATATATATATATATATATATAATTCCATCGCTTGGTATTCCGCAGTTCAACGAGGCGCAGCACATAATTAGTACTTTTATTAAAACATAAATACCTACTACTGTATATAGATATTGATATAAGATCCTATGTAATATTTTGTTTATAAATTAATTGTTATTATAATAACTGAGCTTTGTCCATAGCTCAGTGTTGGTCCTAATTCAAACTCAGTGAATGTTACATTGCATTTGTCCTCTTTGTGGGGAGCATAATGTCCACGAGCCTCTCCCTGGCATCGTGTCTAGCATATTAATCTTAATTGTGTGTTCTGAGAGAAAATTGTTGGAAGTAGAGGTGACGGCTTAGGGATCTTCCAACTCGTTTCCTGTGTAAATGCTCTGATTTCAGGGCCGCCCCCTTAACCCTACATTTCCCTTATGCAGGAGAGATCGTGACCAGGGTGGCCCTGGACCGGGAGCTGAAGGCTGTATACGAAGTTACGGCCGAGGTACACGATGAGGGGCGGCCGCCGCGTCACGCCCGCGCCACCGTCAGAGTCCTGGTCACCGACGTCAACGACAACTCTCCGACCTTCATCGAGCCTCGGGAGCCCTCCGTTAGCGTGAGGGAGGAGCAGCCAGCCGGCACCGAGGTCCTGCAGGTCAGTGCCGGGCTTCCGACTTTCAATATTGAGGTCTCGTTTCTGGTGTCTATATTGAGACTTTTGCTCTTTATAGTTTTATCTTTGATTACAACGTTTAGTGTTTTCGCTCTGGTTAAGTCTTCCCGGATTGGCGCCTTCTTTTAATAATTACTTCTCTGACTTCTACAATGTGTAGTGATTTCTGGTTTGAACAGTTTGTAAGATCTAGTTTGGATTCTGTAATGTTTAGCAAGGTTTTATTCCTTTTAATGGTTTCTACTCTGAATATTAGACTTTTCCCCAATTTTTGAAGTGAATAAACTTATTCTCTGGCTACTGTAGCAGGTTGTGATACATGCATTACTAAAACTGGCATTTCAGAGACCTCTGTACATGGAACGTAAAGTTTCTATTTTATGTGGCACTGATTCTCCTCCCAGCATCATGTAGTACTTCTTAGCTTAATCTAGCAAAGATTTTCAATTTTTGTTATTGTTTATTTTTAAAATAAAAATCTATTACTTTATTAATAAGCCAAATGTACATTGGGAGTTTGGAACGACCCATCAACAACTGCATGTTATCAAGATTTGTCTTAACAAATTAGTATAGTACTTGCTTAACTAGTAATCATCAATTACCTACCATAAAATGATTCAAGTACTCAACAGTGAACCAGTTCACTAACTTCTAACTCTCCAACTGCTGGAGTAACTACATTGTAATTCGTTTAAGTGCCCAGGAACGACCCTACAACTGGTTAACTCCCCAGTTGTCATATTTCCAACTAAAATATTCACAATCAATTAGTATGTCACATATGCACTTATTAAATAAGCCAATATTGACTGTACGCAAGTGCGAGAACGGGTTGCATATTGCACCATTATTTGGCATGTTGTAGAGAAGATGCTCTTCATTAAACCCCTCAGGTAAACTAAGGTATCCCATAAACAGGTACGGGCGACTGATCGAGACGAGGGCAACAACGCCTCCATCACCTACTCCTTCATGACCAGTGATGACAATGATGACGATGCCGCCTTCAATATCAACCCAGCTACTGGTGTCATCACCACCACCAAGGTTAGTGTACTGTTCACCCGTGTAGGTGCGTTGTGTTCACTTCCCATACCCCTGACAGGCACGGTAGGGACTCTGTGCTAATTAGCTGTGCGTTCATCAAATCCTAAGAAATCTGATGTTCTGTCAAGCCCTGAAGGACAGTATATTAATTCACCCATTTCCTGCTAAGCCCTGAATGTCCAAATCCCTGTCAAATCCTGATTATCTATCAAAACACCACTGCAAAACAGTTGGTTCAAAATTGAAAGATCCCCAGTTCAATTTCTGTAGGTTAGAAATTTTTCGACACATTTCCTTTTACGTGAAGCCTCTGTTCACCAAGCAGTAAATACTTACCCAGAAGTTAGGCAACTATTGTTTGTGGCATCCTGGGGAAAATCAGTAGACAGCGTAGGGAAACCTCAATAAGCCTAACAGGCTTCATGACCCTGACAATGGGAAACCTTCCTTGCCCCAGATGTCATGTTGAATCCCTCCCACCTTACCTATATTGCCTCTATCTTTAAATGTGGAAGACTAGAAATATTAAAGTGTTGGTATTGTTAAGTAGGTCCTATAGAATGCATTGCTCAACTACAAGAGCGCACAACTTTGTAACTTATTTGTTTGAATCATTTACACATGATATTCAGAGAGAGCGAGATATCTGTATGATTATATGCAACTGTGGAGGAGGAGGAGAAGTTAAAGAAAACAAAGTAAGCTTTATATTGATGTGTGGTATTGCTGTTGAGTAAGGAATGTTTGTTTGCTCTACAGGTTCTGGACCACGAGGTCAAGCAGGTGTATCGTGTGACGGTGCTGGCCACTGACCAAGGCAATCCGCCCAAGAACGTCACCAAGGTCATACAGATTGAGGTTTTGGATCTGAACGACAATCGGCCCACCTTCCCTGCGTCGTCCATGGTGTTCAAGGTGAAGGAGGGGGTGAAGGTGGGCGAGGAAGTGGGTTCAGTCATCGCAGTAGACAGAGATGGTGGTGAAAATGGTCGTGTCACTTATACCATTCTTACTGGCAACACTTATGGCACTTTCGATATTAACAAAACCACAGGACAGATGTTCACAGCTAAACAGGTCGACTACGAAATGGCTAGCGAGTATATGCTGCAGGTTAAAGCTGTTGACTCCTCAGCAACCAACCCCCAAAGCTCTATCATCAACGTGAAGATAGAAGTTCAGGATGAGAACGATCAGTCCCCCATCTTCAAGGACGATCCCATCATCTTCTCCATCAGTGAGAACACTGCCATTGGTACGCCTGTGTGGAACTTCACAGCCACCGACCTGGACTCTGGTGACAACGGCTATGTGCAGTACTCGCTGACTCAACAGAGACCCAAAAAGGTGTTCAAGTTGGACTCAACGACTGGGATGCTGACACTGATGGCACCATTGGACCATGAGGAGCATCGGGAATATACGCTGGTGGTGACGGCTGCCGATCAGCCCCGGGACGAATCTCGCCGCCGTCAGGCCTCCGTCACATGCCGAATTCTCATTGAAGACTATAATGACAATTCTCCCAAATTTGTATCGAGGGGGCGAGTAGACATAATGGAAGACGAGCCTCGTGGCTACCCAGTCCTACATGTCATCGCCACAGATGAAGACTCCCGTGATAATGGCCGTGTCACATACATTGTCAGCTCTGGTAATGAAGATGGCAGCTTTGCTCTAGACTATGAAACAGGAGTGTTAAGTATAGTGAAAACACTGGATCGTGAACGTGCCACTCAGTACCGCCTTAATGTGACTGCCAGTGACCATGGCCAACCACCACGCTCTGCCATGCAAGTCATAGAAGTTTTCATTGAAGATGTCAATGATAACCCTCCCAAGTTCAGTCAGCCAGTGTACCGTGCCAATGTGTCTGAGGGAGCTCCACCTGGCACATCTGTCATCCGTGTGACTGCATCAGACCGAGACTATGGCACCAACAGCAATTTAACCTACATCATCCCTGCGGGAATCGGTGACAACAAGTTTCGCATCAACCCAACCAATGGAGCCATTCATACAGTGGCCACACTGGACCGTGAAGAGAAAGACCAATACACTTTAACTGTGTACGTACGTGATGGGTCCTTTCCTGCTCAGTATGATACTGCCTCAGTTCTGGTAACGCTCACCGATGTCAATGATCATGCACCAGAATTCCGTGATTCCTGTTACCCCTTGCGAGTGCCTGAGAACACTGACCTTTCTGTCATCCACACAGTACTGGCCACCGACAGAGATGCCGGGCTCAACGGCAAAGTAAGATACTCCATAACAGATGGTAACGTCAACAATAAATTCAGCATCGGTTCATACTCCGGGCAGTTGTCCTCACGACCTCTGGACCGAGAGGCACATGCCAAGTACTTCCTGGTGATCACAGCAGAGGACCGAGCCTCATCGGCACTGCGGGGAATCTGCAACATCACCATCACTGTGGAGGACCAAAACGACAATGACCCCAAATTCTCTCAAAACCGATACACAGCCACACTACAGGAGGATGCTCTACCAGACACGACAGTGCTCACAGTAAGGGCAGTTGATGAGGACCATGGAGAGAATGCTCGTATCACCTACTCTCTCAGCAACGAGACCCAGTGGCTCTTCAAGATAGACAATGAAACTGGTGTCATCACTACTGCTGGGTAAGCTTTACTATTGTTTTAGAGTTTTAGAATTATTGGGTTTCAAGAATACTGTATAAAAAATGTATATGTTTGATTTAACATTTGAATTTAAAGTAACACACCCCTGTAAAGTGTGAGTAATTTAATGCATTTCATTTGTAGCTTCTAGTGTAGCAGCTACACTTTGTTATTAAATATTTTATTAATAATAATAGATGCTCATTATTAACCTCATTAATGCTCATTATTAACACCATGCCACATAATCCTCAAAGTAACCATGTCTTCCTCAGGTACTTTGACAGGGAGAAGCAGAATGTGTACACATTTGAAGTACGGGCAACGGATGGCGGCCGCTATGACTCGCGCTCTGAGAAGGCCCAAGTTCAGATCACCATCAGCGATGTGAACGATAACAAGCCTGTGTTCACCCAGTACCCCTTCACCGTGGATGTTCCTGTCTACTCCCAGCCTGGCCACCAACTGCTGCAGGTCTCTGCAACAGACAAGGACGATGGTGTCAATGCTGACATCATCTTCAGGTAGGTTACTCCTGAGTCAAGACTTTGTCTCAGTTACTTAAGTTTTCCTTTCACAAGAGCTTATATGGCCCAAATACAGTAGTGTGTTTGGGCTGTCCGAGCTTTGCCTCGCATCACATAGTGTTTGTGGTGTGATTTAGCTTGCCATAGCATTTCTTCACCCTGGCACTCATATTATAAGCAGTCTTGGCTTTAAGACAGCCTGTATGTTTTCCACAGCAAAGCTGCTGTAATATTTATTTGCACTATTCATATGTTAGCACTTTACACAGCTATAATTTTTGCTTCACATGTGTGATTGCCCAGATTTGGACATTTGTTCTGACATATAGATGGCCAATATTTTAAAATACTGCACCTGTACAGTACTATATATTTAATCAGGTTAGTGAATATGAATTGTTAGAATGAGGTTACATAATTTGAGAGGCACATGAGTTGTTACTTTAGTAAGGTTACATGGAGAGTCATGGATTTTTTTATGCTTGTCCCTCCAGTTTGGTGGATGAATCAGCCAACAACAAATTCCGGATCAACTCAGAGACAGGAATCGTGACGGCAACGAGCCAGCTAGGATTGGAGAGTGGCCGTATTTTCCATCTGGAAGTAGTGGCTCAGGACCGTGGCCGCCCTCCGCAGTCTTCTACGGGCCTGGTGGAGATACGGGTAGGAGATGCCACCTCCACTACCACACTCCAATTTCCCAATGCAACCTACTCTGCAGAACTAGGAGAGAATGCCCCTGCAGGTTCTGACGTGGTGCAGGTAGCTGCCTTCCGCTCTGATGGTCGCAAGCAGAGGATAACCTATAGCTTTGGTTCTGGGAATGAGGACAACATCTTTGAGATCAATAGCAACAATGGCCTGATCCGCGTGAGGGACCCCCGTCGCTTAGACTATGAGACTGTACCACAGATGCAGCTCATCATTGTGGCACAGGCAGAGGGCGAAACGCCTCTCTATGCTTATACCAGTGTCTGGATTACCCTCATCGACATGAATGACAATGCCCCGCGCTTCACACAAGACCGCTATGTATCGTCAGTGTGGGAGGGATACAACAAGGGTGCCTATGTGATGCAGGTGTCGGCCACAGATGATGACACAGGCGTCAATGCTAACATAGTCTACCACATCGTCGATGGTAACCATGACAATGCATTTGTCATTGACCCACCCTTCTCTGGAATCGTCAAGACCAATATTGTGCTGGACCGCGAGATTCGAGATGCCTACAAGCTGACAATTATAGCCACGGACGAGGGGGTGCCTCAACTCACCGGAACCTGCACCCTCAGGATCAACATTGTCGATGCTAATGACAACCAGCCCACCTTCCCTCCACACTCCATTGTGCAAGTCTCAGAAGGTCAGTATGTTAAAATAGCGTTGCAGTCCATAGGCCTATATTATGCTCTTTTCTGGCAGGACAGAAATGGTTGAGTGTTTCCTATCACCTAAAGGCCCGGTTCACCTAGCAGTAAATATGTACCCAGGAATTTATCAGCTTCTTGCGGGGTAGAATCATGGGGAAGATCAATAGCTCCACTTTGAGGGTGACCTCGATATAGGCCCTCAGGTAAATATACACTGGCTGCCTGTCCCTCGACAAAATTTATAATTATTTATTATTATTATTATTATTATTATTATTATTATTACTATTATTATTATTACATTACAGTAATAAAAATGTTAGTGAAGCTACTTGAATTTACCTGAGGGCCATTAACATACTAGTGGCCTCAACGAGGACAGGAAGCCAGCGGCTTATCAATGGTATACAGTACAGTACCATATTTCTTTAAATTTTTACAAAGCAGATATCAGTAACAGTGCTGGTTCAGTAATTAGTGTACATTAACAGCAAAACATAGGAAGACATTTAGGAAGTAAGATTGGTTACATAGAGTTGATTAGGAAGATCTTAGTTTCACAAGTATACTGCCCTGTGAAACACCCATGTTTATTGGTAGGGTGGAAGTAGCAGTGTCGTTAACAGAGGCAAACTGGAGCCTGTCACCAGTAATTTGAAGATTCAAGTTTCAAAGTTTGATATTTACTCTATGAACACATTACAACATTACTGTTGCATTGTCATTACATGTTGCATAAAATAATAGTGGTTCTTGATACTAATATTCAAAATGCTTTAGCCACACTACAGCTGCATCACAACACAGATTTAGATTTCTTACAAAGAGCAAAACAATAAAAATCTGTATAACCTTAGTCATGTATTGTTCATGCAGTACTGTAAGTGAAATAAGCATATACAGTACTGTATAATATAAATGTTGTTGCTGTGATATTCAATTGTAAATTATAATAATTGGGGAATGTCTTCATAACAGCATCAGCATTATTGATAATGTACTGTTGCATTGTCTTAACCCTCCTGCTGCCCTCCTTTTGCAGGTGCTGAGGTTGGCACAGTCATTACCACCATCACGGCCAATGATGTGGACACCAATCCTGCCATTACCTATAACTTTGCTGCTGATGGCAACCCACACAACATGTTTAGCATTGACAAGTTCAGTGGAAAGATCACCTTGGCCGTGCCACTGGACCATGAAACTCAAGCACAGTACATGGTACAGGTGGAAGCATCGGACACAGCTCACGTCGCTACCACCTCTATCACTGTGCAGGTGGTGGATGAGAATGACAACAGTCCCATCTTCACTCAACAGGCTTACCAGGTGGCTCTTCCAGAGCTCTCTGTTCCAGGCACTTCTGTCATTAGGGTGAGTCATATTATAATATTTGTTCTTTTTTTTTTTTTTTTTAACCTTGAAGATCATCGGGGACCTTCTCCTTTTCTACTTACGAGAATTAGCCAAGTCTTGAACTCCCCTCCATCAATCACCATTTTCTAGTGCACATCAAAAAATAAAACAAATCTTTTTCCTTTCTGTATCATAAACCTAATTATGGGGAGAAAGTTATAATGATTTTAATTAAGCCATAGTGAGGTGAAGAAATGTTGAAAATGTCAAATTCTGAGAATTCATTTTCAAGTTAATTGATTATAATAGATAAATCTTTATCGCTAATATCTTCCAGGTTGGTAAAAGTCTCAGAAATTTGACATGACATCAGTGGTTCCTCACATGGGTGTCTGTGGATGGTGATGCACCTGACATGATGCAAATTTTCTAATAATTCCCAGAGAGGAAGCACGGCCCATTAAAGGCTTTCAGGATTTTTCCAATATGGCAAACAATTTGTAGAGGTCCCTAATGTTGAATGACATCCACATAGACTCTTTAGGACTTTTAAATATGATGGGCACATTAAATCTCTCACAAGCGAAGGGCACATCGGGCCCCTTTCACCTGAACTACATTAGTAGTTTAAGGATTAAATCAACCCCCCAAGGTTTGAGGTTTCCAACCATCTCCCTCGCCTGAAATTTCTAAGTAGCATATGCTCAATGACAAATTAGATCATTGTATAGTTATATGGAATATTTAAATAGGTGTAAAATTAAACTGTAATTCTGCACAGGAATCCCCATTACCATATACTGTCTTCCACTACAGGTTAATGCAACAGATGCTGATGCAGGGTCTAATGCCAGGGTAACATACAGCCTAGGGACATCATCAGATAGTGGTTTCTACATCAGCGAGAGAACAGGTGTCATCTACACCAACTCTTCTGTGCACTACAACCCTCGTCACCCAGTCATCCAGTTGGTGGTGACTGCCAGAGATGGTGGGAGGCCTTCACTCGCTGCAGTTGCTGCCGTCAGGATACAGGTCACAGATGTCAATGACAATGCTCCCAAGTTCTCCCGTGAAGTTTACACGTAAGATACATAATTCGTTATTTGTTAAGATATATTTTTGAAATGCAGCTCTGCTACCCTTAAATGTAAACCTTTGGATTTAAATATAAACTCTTCATATCTGATAATCCCTATCACCTTAAGTAGCAAGGTGACAAATGCAGAAGATCCTTTAGGTATACCTATCCTTTCACTGCTCAAAACCCCTCTCCATATATAGTACTTCGCTCTCCTGTCCATTCTTTAACTCTGACCTTCCTCATTTTTGTCCCCCTCCCATCTAGGATGGGAGCCCATATTATTTCCCATCTAGGATGGGAGCCCATATTATTTCCCATCTAGGATGGGAGCCCATATTATTTCCCATCTAGGATGGGAGCCCATATTATTTCCCATCTAGGATGGGAGCCCATATTATTTCCCATCTAGGATGGGAGCCCATATTATTTCCCATCTAGGATGGGAGCCCATATTATTTCCCATCTAGGATGGGAGCCCATATTATTTCCCATCTAGGATGGGAGCCCATATTATTTCCCATCTAGGATGGGAAATATGATAGGATGAATTACGAGAACCTTCAACTCCAGGGATCCCATCACAATGGTCGCAATATTGAAATGACTTGTACCGTCCCATCTTGAGTACTGCTCAGTACTCACCCCTTCAGAGCGGGAGAGATTTCTGAAATAAAGGGAATACAGAGAACATACAGTTTTCTTTGGCTAGTGCATCAGTTCTTTGACTGCATTTAAATACTGTATACATCTTAGGCTTAAGTTCACATATAATCCTTATGTATGCATTCTTGGCTGGATTACTCCATCATAAGGAGTAATGGGGACCTCTTGACAGACAACCAGCTTCTTGTTTCTGTGAAGGCTGCTAGAGACAGTGGCACTCGACTTTCTAAGTATGAATCCCTCAGCATGAAGTAGAATCTCATATTCTTAAGTATAGCCCATTATCCTTTATTATACATATTAGGAATTAGCATCTTAGTATAGTGATGATTTACACTGCTGTATCCAGTATACTTTCTAAAACCCACGTATTCAGTTTTATCAGAAAAGCTTGACACCCCTTCCCTGAGTATTGTAATACAATGTATGTTATGTAGGTGTTTCTATTGGGTTTGATAGGGCACTTTTAAGTTGATGCAGGACTTGGAGATGGTTGCATTTGTCTCATATTTGTGTTTATATTGACAGAGCCCATGTGAGTGAGGACGCACCTCGCGGCCATCCAGTTACTCGTGTCTCGGCTTCTGACATGGACGAGTCCCGACACAACCGCAACATTGACTATCAACTAGTGGGCGGTAACGAGCTTGGCGCCTTCCAGATCACTAGCAGCACTGGGGAGATTCTGTTGGTTAAACCGCTTGACCGAGAGGAGATTGCCGAGTTTCATCTAATCGCCCTGGCCACTGACCGTGGACGCCCTTCCAGGAATGCCACAGCTGAAGTGATCATAACAGTTGATGATGTCAATGACCATGCTCCAGCCTTTAACCAGAGCGAGTACGCTGTAACTGTCAGTGAATCCTTGAGCCTTGGTGCTTCAGTCCTGCAGGTGCTGGCCTCTGATAATGACACTGGAGACAATGCACGCATCAACTATGACATAACTTCTGGTAATGATCGTCAGGTGTTTGCCCTTGACTCCGAGACAGGTGTGATTACTCTGCGTGAAGCTTTGGACTATGACAGTGTGGCCGAATATCGTTTCATCGTCCGGGCTACTGATAGTAACCGCCATCATTCACTGTCTGCTCTTTCTACTGTACACATCACACTAGAAGATGAAAATGACAATGCCCCACAGTTCCCAGTAGACAAATATCTAGAGTTTGTGGCTGAGAATGCTCCCGTTGGGACCTCAGTGTTCACTGCACATGCGAATGACGCTGACAAGGGACAGTATGGCTCACTCAACTACTCTATCCCTGGAGGAAAAGATATGGATAAATTTAGTGTTGACTACAAAACAGGTGTGGTCGTTACCAAGGCAGTGTTTGACTACGAGGCCAAACAAGCTTACTCCTTTTTGCTCCGTGCTATTGATGCTGGGGGAAAATCTTCCGTGGTCACTGTTCAGGTCAACGTAGACAGCCAAGATGAGTTTGCACCAGAGTTTTTGGAACGTAACTACTATTTTGCTATACCAGCCAACATGGAAGTTGGGATGGTAGTTGGTCGTGTAGAAGCCACAGACAAAGACGAAGGGCCTGATGGTCGAGTTTTCTATTCACTACGTACATCATCTAACACATTTAAGATCAATCGAACATCAGGAGAGATTACAGTGCGACGTGCTGGTGCCCAGGAAGAAGGGCTGACACGGTTGGAAGTGGTTGCTACATCAGGATTAGTGGGGTCCCTACGTGCTGTGGCAGTGGCCGAGGTGAGTGTTGGAGGAAAGAATGGGACCTGGAATAATACAACACCATCAACTGCAGGTGGTCAGGACTCTGGGGGTCTTGCTACCTGGGCCATTGGCCTGCTTATAGCACTCATATTCTTGGTACTCATATTTGGAGGGGCATTTTTGTTTCTTTACCGACGGAACCTTCGAGCTCGGAAGCCTGCAATGGCTGATCAATTTGATACCTCATTTGACACCATTGACATTCGGCCTCCTCCTACAGCACCGGCAGATTTGTCACAATATCCACCACGCTATAATGACCTACCTCATTATGATCATCATGGAGAGCGTAGTCATCATCATGGCAACACTACATCAGAGATGAGTGAGCAAAGCCAGAGTGCAAGCAGTGGGCGTGGTAGTGCAGATGACAATGAGGATGTGGAAGATGAGGAGATCCGCATGATCAATGAAGGTCCACTTATTCAGCAACAGAAGCTGCGAGAGAGACTTGGCCTCCCTGACTCGGGTATCCGTGATGATGATAACATGAGTGATGTATCTGTCCACAACACTCAAGAGTATCTGGCTAGACTCGGCATTGACACCACTAAGAGTGAGTCAACGAAAGGATCGCAAGATCTGGCACACTCCATGGAAAGCATGCACATGTTTGATGATGAAGGTGGAGGAGAGGCAGATGGCATGGATATTAGTAATCTCATTTATGCCAAACTAAATGAAGTCACTCCAGAAGAGGAATCCTCCATAATGGATGGCACCCGAGCATTTGGGTTTGGGGATGAGAGCCAGCCCTCCATGACGGGCTCGCTAAGTTCCATCGTTCACAGTGAAGAGGAGCTTCAGGGCTCGTACAACTGGGACTACTTGTTGGACTGGGGCCCTCAGTACCAGCCTCTAGCGCATGTCTTCTCTGAAATTGCTCGCCTCAAAGATGACTCGGCGCCCAATTATAGCCGAGAGCCAATGAAAAAGACACTGAACCCACAAGTGAAGACAATCCCTCCACCACTTCTGACGAGTGTGGCACCGCGCTCAATTGCCCCTGTGGCACTCAGCTCAGTGCGCACTAGTCAGCTAACACTGCCCTCTCTTCCTCGGTCCCCTATCAGCCATGAGTCATCTTTCACCTCACCTGCCATGTCCCCCTCCTTCAGCCCCTCCCTTTCTCCTTTGGCCACCCGTTCTCCATCCATCTCTCCCTTGATGACCCCAGGAAGTGTCAGTCATGCAACTTCTCCTGCAGCTGCTGCTGCTCAGACATCGGCCACCTCTACTCCACACCATGGCCGACCAGTTGGTCAGCGGCCAGGCCCAGCGGGGCTTATGGCTGGGGCTTCATCGGGCTCAGAAACTGAACTCAGGATATAGCCGTCACTATACCCTCTTTTCTACCACCACCATCTCTACCACCACCACCTCCATCACCATCACCACCACCACCACCATCCTCACCACCATAACCACAGCAGTCTGCCTCTGCCCCGACGTCCTCGCTAGAGAGTTGTGTCTCCAGCAGGAGGGCTTGCTCCTGCCTCAACACTCCAGACTTTACTACTCACCTTGTTAGCGGCCAAATTACGAATGTGATATACAGTAGTTATTGGTGTGACGTTGCCAAATGTGCTTAATCGCATGGTGCCTTGCGTGAGTGTTTTGTGTATATTTGTGAATATTTAAGTATTAGAATAAAAACTGGCAAGGGACAACTAAGAGCAGTGGTGCATTTCCCTCCATTTAGCCCCGACATAATAGAAGCTCTTTGATGAAGTTCATGGCAGTGTTATACTGGGGCATGACAGTAACTACGTGCAACAGTGAGTGCTGTTGAAGGTAAATGGTGTGAAGCAGTGAGCACTGTTGACGGCAGCATGCATGGTGAGAACAAAGCCAGTAAAAAGGAATTTTGTGTGACTCGGTGCTTAGCTGCCTTGCCATACCTCACAAAACAGTGCTCGTGTGATCTCTGCCTGCTCACCACCACCTCAACAACTCATTAACCAGTGTTGTGTTAAACAGTGCATGGTTGCCCCCTCGGTCAGCTAATGACCAAGCCTGGTAAATTTGGCCAGGATTAAAAAAAACATTGCTTACCAGTCAAGTCGTGCTTGATAACTGCGAAGACTGGTCTGGCTCACAGAGGGCCTGTGAATGATGCTTTGTGGTGACTGCTACACACTAGCATTAGTCAGATGAACCTTGCAGTGTGTCCATCCAACTCTTAACCTTGTGCCACAGTGGCTGTGTACTCAAATTTGTCTTCCAGTGATAACTCCGTTTGCTGTTTTGAGACAGCTAGTGCAAATAAAATATCATCAAACAAAAATAAAGATATAACTTAGCAAAGGTGCCTTTTCAAAAATGAGGGTGCTGACTTTACCACATCATGACATTGTTCACCAAATGTGCCACATAAGGAATGCGGTGCCATGAGACCTGGCACTGTCAGTGCAGTGCCAAGGTATATCACCTATGACCCTGTGCAACATGTGTGCCTTTTTTATACCTGCCTCTCACTAGGACCAGTGCCTCACACTATGGCTCCCTCCTGGGTACACCTCATTTTAATACCTCTGGCTACAATTGAGCAAAATTCGTCCCCCATCTTTTTGCCAGAAAGAATTTGCTCCCTTGTCCCCTTTCCAAATTGGGCAATTTACAACCATTTCTCAAAAAGATTACACTAGATCTCTTTAATAGTGTTAATGTAACATTTGCATAATAGAGTACAGGCACGTTGCCACAGTCTACACCAACATTGGCTAAGACCAACTTTATTACTCTCATTAATAATAATATCATGCAATACTCAATAATATACTGTATTTGATTTAGGATACCACCTTCCCCCATTTCACCACTGATATTTGAGAATCTTGTACCCATGTCTCTCTTTCATATTACCTTGGGAAAATTATAGCAGCACATTGCTAAATCAGGTGCTCTTTCCATCCTCTTCTGTTAGGAATTCCTTCAGTAGTGTCAAAAGTCACCCGCCAGTATCTTGTGGGGATCTTCAATGTGCCAAAATATCTTTTGATATTTTTCAACAGTTCAAGTACTATCTCATGGACATAGTGGGCATTGCCTACAGTGGCAATATATGTGCCAAATCTCCCTCCATATCTTACTGCCCTTACCTATATTCTCTGCATCCAGCCCAGTTACTAGATTATAGTTATGAGAAATAATCATGCCAAGTTTTTCCATCTAGTACACTACACATACTAATTATGTATGGCTTTTGCAGTGCCATTTTTTTAAATGTTATTTCTGATTTGCACAGTGACAGTGCCAAAATCCACACACAATATGCTGCTTTGGTTGCTGGGTGCCAGTACCAAACCTTCCCCCTACATCCCCTGGTCCAATGGCTGTTACAGTGCCAACCCTCTCCCCACATACACACACACACACACACACACACACACAGTGCCCTGGTCCGCTGGGTGACAGTGCCAACCCCCAAACACAGTCCAGTTACCAGGTATTGGTGTCCTGGGCAGTGATCGTGCCAACTCTCCTACACAACATCTTCTCAGTCGCCTGTTAACGCGTTGGTCAGTTTTGAAGTTGTACAGATTGTTAAATTATTAATTATTACTTCGAAAGTCTGACTCCTAGCCCTCTCAATACATTTTTGGGGAGCTGTTAAATGCAAAAACACAATAAACTATAGATTATTAATTATTTATAAGTGTTTAAAGATGTCAAATTTGTTGTATTTATATAAAAAAAATAAACTTGTGCAATGCCATGTAAGGATAAGTGTCCGGTTAGACTGTTGAGATTGTATACTTCGTAAGTAGGAACCCCAACATCGGATAGACCTTACATGTTTACCAAAGGCCACCCCCGGCTTAAGTGCTACAAGCAAGGCCGTCGCAGTTGGTTCATTTCCTGTGTGAAATATTGAGATTTTCGCCTACAGTGTCAAGCTGTCAACCTGACACCTTCCCCGCCAAATCAAAATGTACCTACTACATAGCATCAACCTGTCTGTGGACAGGCATCTTGTCTCTTCTGTAAATAGTTTGATATGAGCGTTTTCCTCTTTTCTGTACAGTTAATTTTGTGTACACACAGAAATTTGTATAATTTTGTATTGTGATAACGCCTTATACCTTAATTAAGGTATAAACTTTAATAAAGAAATAGTTGATAAAGCTTTATATTATTGTTACAACCCCTTTTTTTGCATTTCTAAATCAACATCTTTACAAATATGAACATTTATTTATTATATGGTATTATATTGTATATACATATTCACCATAATTCAAATTTTGTACATATTTACTTTTTTCAGTCTTCTCTCAAACACCTCATGTTTGAGATTTTGAGAATGAGATTTTGTAAGTAAACACAAGAGAATGTGAGAAGTGAGTGAATGTTTAACATAGTTTGAGATTTAAATCTCAAACTGGCCAGTGTATCCTGGCCGGGGAGGATTTACTGGGCACAAATCCTTAACTGTAGCCTCTGTTTAACTCAACAGTAAAATGAGTACTTGGTTGTAAAAAACGATTCTTCGCGGCGGGGATCATATTCCAGGGACCTGCCCGAATCGCTATGCGTACTAGTGGCTGTACAAGAATGTATGTAACAACTCTTGTATATATCTCAAAAAAAAAAAACAGAAGGGCTGAGTGAAGATAGAATTGTCTGAAGATAGAATTTGTTATAGTCCTGATAGCTGATTTTTGCTGGGTGATTATGAGCATAAGGTAGTTTGCCGTGGTTGAACCTCATGCACAGATACCATATGCTAGATGGGGATAGATTAGCATCTAGTATAGTTTAAGAAGAGCAAAGTGGAGAACATAATATATGATTTTTGAGAGTACTGTACTGTAAAACTAACAGTTTTAGACTTTTTTTGGCTATATGTTGTATGCGAGTACTAAAGTTAAATATCTTGTCTATTTACAATACAGACAAAGGATCTTTCCCTCATTTTTACTAATAATATTGACATTGTTTATCTGCTAGTGTATTTGGTTTTGGTGATTTGCTTCCAAATAAAATGTAGTAGATCTTTTATAAGCTTAGTGAGAGTTTGTTGGTTGACATTCATTAGTGGGCTTTTTTTTTAGTTTGTTATTTACACCTCATGTAAATAATGGCTCCTTGGGTACACCCAGTGTACCCAGGGTGCACCCAGTGCACCCAGTGCTGTACACCCAGTGCTGAATCACCCAGTGCTGGGTGCACCCAGTGCACCCAGTGCTGTACACCCAGTGCTTAAATAACAGCTTCTTCTGCCCCTACAATGGGGTGAGGGACGTGCAGGAGGGCAGAACATGGGGGCACACCAAAATTACACAAGTGAGGACGGGCGCTCCCAGGGAACAGGAAGCATGAATGCAGAGGAGGATGCCCAAGTGCACCAAGGAACACAGTGGGAGGGGAAGGAAGATAGCAAGGAGTACTGGGGGAAGCGCTGAGACATAGGGTGCATAGAGCACCAACGTTCAGGAAATATGCAGAAAGAGCAGGTCCCAAGTCATCCAAGGAAACCTAGGGCACAACGTAACAAGAGTGCCAGGAGAAGGGGGCACCTAAGGGCGCTGATGAATGCCAAAGGCAATAGGAAACACAGACAGCAAGGCACAGGAAGGGTTGTGGCGCAGAAAAGCCGAGGCACAAATATTGACAAATGCAAGACCATGTATGTGAGGCATAACAACCCACACCACGACCACCAAATTAATAACATTACATTACAGCAGATTGGTGAAGAAAAGGACCTTGGAGTAAAAATCCACCACTTACTAAAAGTTGCACAACAGGTGGGAGCATTTTTTTTATTATTAACACAGTTAGGTACATCTGCATTTGCACAGCTATCCTAGACTATATGAAGGGGAGTACAGTGTGTGTAAAAAAAACTATGCAATGCAAAAAATCACCATCACACAAGATAGATAGTCATACAGATGCATGTGGTAAGTAGTTTGCACTGGCAAACTTTGGATGTATTATGAGGATATCATCATGAACACAAGAGGGAATAAGGTAGCAGTGATACTAAAAGTCCCCCATTTTGCAGGATGGTTAGTCATATGGGGCCATATATTCAGCAGTCTGCACTGGTAAATTTTTGGTGCATTATGAGGATATCCTCTAGAACACGAGAGAGAATAAAGTAATCACAAAGCTCCAGGTACCTAATGCCAACGGGTCTGAATGGTTTGAAAACTGAGCATTCGGTGATGTAGTGTGCAAGATCATGCCCCAATTCCTGCTCACAGAGTTTGCAGCTGTATTGGGAGATCCATCACCTGTAGCCACCTGTCACTGGTAACAGTAACCCAACCTGATCCTGGCAACCACTGTGTCGCACAGTCTAGTGGACGTTTTGTGCTGCCCATAAACTTAGGTTTCAGATCTGAACAAATCATAGCTTTTTATACTGGTGCTTTCAGGTCGTTTGGAGTCGGTAATTTCTCTCCTATCAGACCTGAGTGTTTTTATTTATTTATTTATTTATTTATATACAAGAAGGTACTTTGGATTTATGAGAGTACAGAGCACTGAAGTTTTACTTTCCTGTAAAACCACTAGCATGCATAGCATTTTGGACAGATTCTTAATCTAACATATAATTTTAAGAAGGTAATTTCTAGCAAAATTAAAAACAAAATTTACAGGCACATTGTAAAAAAATATAAAAATACATTGTAAGAAAGTCTAAAAATATATTGTAAGTATAAAAAAACATGTATAAGAAATTTGACAGAAAAAATGTAGGTACATTAAAGTAAATTTAAGGGTTATATTAAATATTGTTTGGAACAATACAGTTTTGACAGCAGAGATGGGGATACCTAGGTATAATTCAACTTCATCTTTGCTACATGCTAATTTGGCTGCAATGTCTGTGTCATTATGGTGTGTTATATTTATTTATTTATTTATTTATTTATTTATTTATTTATTTATTTATATATATACAAGAAGGTACATTGGGTTTGTGAGAATACATTGGATAGTACAGTATTTACATTCTTGTAAAGCCACTAGTACGCACAGCGTTTCAGACAGGTCCTTAAACTAGCAGATAATTTTAAGTAGGTAATTTCTATCAGAATTGATAAATGATAAAGATACATTGCAAGAGAAAAATGAGATGAGAGAGCTTAGTAAGTATATTAAAGCACATTGTTATATTAAAGCTCTGATTGATTACATTGACAGCTTGATTAGTAATTTAAAACAAGATTAATAGACACCATACAGCAGATTGACAGCACATATAAGACAGCAATGATCACAATGGTAAAGATGTTCAGATTGGGTACATAAAGATTGGGAGACTGGGTAGCAAAAGATACAGATAAACAAGATTTATAAACACCATACAGACAGATTGGCAGCACATATAAGAAGACAGCAATGATCACAATGGTAAAGATGTTCAAATTGGGAACATAAAGGTTGGGAGATTGGGTAGCAATAGATACAGTGCAATTTTAAGGCAAAAAGTGAAAAACTATGAAGATGAAATTAGGTACTTTTTAGTATTGATTTTGAATGATGTAAAAGTTGGACAGCTTTTCAATTCAGTAGGGAGTGAGTTCCATAAACTGGGTCCCTTTATTTGCATAGAGTGTTTACACAGATTAAGTTTAACTCTGGGGATATCAAAGAGATATTTATTTCTGGTGTGGTGATAATGGGTCCTATTACATCTGTCCAGGAAGAGTTTCAGACAAGGGTTTGCATTTAAGAACAGGGTTTTGAAAATGTAGTTGACACAAGAGAATTTATGGAGTGAGATTATGTTTAGCATGTTTAGGGAGTTAAACAAGGGGGGCTGTGTGTTGTCTGAAAGCAGAATTTGATATTATTCTGATATCAGATTTTTGCTGGGTGATGATGGACTTGAGGTGGTTTGCAGTTGTTGAACCCCATGCACAGATACCATAGTTGAGATAGGGATAGATTAGTGCATAATATAGAGAGATGAGAGCAGAGTTAGGTACATAATATCTGCTTTTGGAGAGTATACCAACTGTTTTAGAGACTTTCTTAGTTATGTGTTGTATGTGGGTACTGAAGTTGAGTCTCTTGTCTAGGAATATGCCAAGAAACTTTCCATCATTTTTATTGCTAATGTTTACATTGTCTATCTGAAGCTGAATTGCATTTGTAGATTTGCTTCCAAATAGGATGTAGTAGGTCTTTTCTATGTTAAGTGTTAGTTTGTTGGTTGACATCCATAAGTGGACTTTTTTTTAGTTCATTATTAACAACATCATTTAGTGTATGTGGGTTGGGGTTGGAGTAGATGAGGGTAGTATCATCAGCAAACAAAATAGGTTTCAGAATGTTAGAGACATTAGGCAGATCATTGATGTATATAAGAAATAGAAGAGGTCCCAAGATGCTGCCCTGTGGCACTCCAACGGTTATTGGTAGAATGGGAGAGATTATATTATTGATGGCTACACATTGGTGTCTATCACTAAGATAGGATTGGATATAGTCCAGTGCATGGCCTTGGATTCCATAATGATGGAGTTTACATAAGAGGTAATCGTGATTAACAGTATCAAAGGCCTTTCTCAGGTCAATGAAGAGTCCAATTGGAAACTCATTTTTGTCAAGGGCTGAGTAAATTATATCAAGGAGACTAATAATTGCATCGTTGGTACTCTTTTGAGAGCGGAAGCCAAACTGACAGGGGCTAAGAATGTCGAATTTTACGAGATAGGAGTAGAGCTGTTTGTAGATAATTTTTTCAAATATTTTTTATAGTATGGGTAGGTTCGATATTGGTCTATAGTTGTTTATGTCTGCCGGATTACCTCCTTTATGAACTGGCGTTACTCTTGCTTTTTTAAGGATATCAGGGAAGGTATGACACTCAAGGGATTTGTTGAACAGCAGAGCTATAGGTGGCACAAAGGCATGGGAGGCGCTCTTGTATACAATGGATGGGATTTCACTGATGTTCCCAGCTTTGTTTTTTAGTGAGTGTATGATGGACACAACATCTGTCGGGCTGACTGGTGAGAGGAGAAGAGAGTTTGGATAGCTGCCTGAGAGATATGTGTTGATATGTGTCTGAGTCTGTGGGATTTTACTTGCAAGGTTAGCACCAATCGATGAAAAGAAGCTATTAAATTCATTCGCCATTTCTAAGTCAGATGACAGTGTA